TTACTGGTGTTTCCTTTCTCCTTTTTCACAATTAATATATAAAATTTTAGGGTCTGCTACTTTTTTTCTGTCCAATACATAAAATAATAAGACCACAGAGAAGCTTCTCTAATCTGTTGGGTTGTTTACAGCATGGACTTTAGCTATATTTTGAAGAGGGAAAAAAGTAAATGTAGGGAGGTTTATTTTTGTCATTTGACAGAAGTAAGCCAAGCTTCTTTTTGAATGGAACTGAAATACCATATTTAGCAAAACAGTATTGTGCAAATGACTGCACAAATTCTAATGTTTTTCTATCTTATGGTTAGAAAAGTTCTGACTTGAAAAATATTAATATTGTGAACGAAAATACTACAATGTGAATGAAAATACTGCAACCATATCAGTAAACAAAGAATGCTGAAACCAAGTCATCAGCGGCTGCCACCACCCCCCAGTGGGGACAGGCCTGCAGCCCAGCCTCTGCAGCCACTCACAAAGGTGCACTCTGAGGGGACTCAGAATAAGAAAGGACAGGATACTGGCCCTAGATAGCTAGGTGCTTGTCAAAGGAATGAATTCAGTGAGCCCAAATGTTTGCTTCCTCCCATACATAGAAAAGCACTGAATTCATTAACTTGAGATGCCTGGTTTTCTTTAGATAACAAGCAATCTTTTATTGTTCCAACTACCTGGTCTTTGTTGTAAAGCTCCTATATATCCTAGCTCCTCTCCTACCTCTATCTGAGAGGCTGTCATCCCGGCTCGAGTCCTCCCGCCAAATAAAACATAACTCTTAACTTTTAGGCGTGCATTTATTTCAGTCGACAATATATTCATTCATTAATATATTATATTAATATAATTACATTAATATAATACATTAACATTAGATGCTTAGTTGAGAACTTGATCCTTTTTAGCTCGTTTGGTTCCTACAGTACACCAAGCTGTTCTGATTCTTCTGTTGACAAACATAATGTGACACATCAGTACCAAATAATCCTCAGGGGCCCTCTAATCCACAGGGAAATTAAATTAACTTCCTTATATTAGTGGGATGAATAAGAGCTCCCTATTAAATCTATTATCTTAAAAAAATATGTTATGTCATGATATCAAAAAATCCTCAACATTGCTAATGATTAAACAAATGCAAATCAAAACTACAATAAAATATCACCTCACGCCAGTCAGAATGGCCATCATCAAAAAGTCTACACATAATAAATGCTGTAGAGGGTGTGGAGAAAAGGGAATCCTCCTACACTGCTGGTGGAAATGTAAATTGGTGCAGCCATTATGGAAGACAGTATAGAGTTCCTCAAAAAAACAAAAATAGAACTACCACATGATCCAGCAATTCCAGTCCCAGGTGTATATCCAGAAAAGACCAAAAATCTAATTTGAAAAGATACACGTACCTCCATGCTCATAGCAGCACTATTTAAAATAGCTAAGACGTGGAAACAACCTAAATGTCCACTGACAGATGACTGGATAAAGAAGATGTATGTGTGTGTATACATATATATATATACACACACACACATGCACACGCACAATGGAATACTACTCAGCCATAAAAAATAACAAAATAATGCCATTTGCAGCAACATGGATGGACCTGGAGATTGTCATTCTAAGTGAAGTAAGCTAGAAGGAAAGAAAAATGCCATATGATATCACTTATTTGTGGAATCTAAAAAAAAAGAAAAGAGACAAATGAACTTACTTACAAAACAGAAACAGACTCACAGACATAGAAAACAAACTTATGGTTACTGGGGGGAAGGTAGTGGAAAGAGATAATTTGGGAGGTCAAGATTTGCAGATACTAACTACTATATATAAAATAGATAAACAACAAGTTCATACTGTATAGCAAAGGAACTATATTCAATACCTTGTAGTAACTTATGTTGAAAAATAATATGAAAACAAATATATGTACGTTCATGTATGACTGAAGCATTGTGCTGTATACCAGCACAATGCTTGTAAATTGACACAACATTGTAAATTGACTATAGTTCAATAAAAGTATATATACATACCAAAAAAGATGTGATATATACACACAATGGAACATTACTCAGCCATAAAAAAGAATGAAATAATGCAATTTGCAGCAACATGGATGGAACTAGAGATTATCATACTAAGTGAAGTAAGTCAGATAGAGGTAAAAAAATATCATATGATGTTACTTATATGCAGAATCTAAAAAAAATGATACAATAATCTTATTTACAAAACAGAAACAGACTTACAGTTATAGAAATTTATGGTTACCACAGGGGAAGGAGTAGGGAAGGATAAATTAGGATCTTGGGATTAAAAAAAGAAAAAAATTCCTTATTTACATTCTAAAAAGTCTACTTAACTACTCTGAATTTTTGAAGTTTATTACAGATGTGAAAAGAATGTGGTCAAATTTTACTCATAGCCTTTGGGCTTTGCTTAGAAGCAGTTTTTAATGAAATGGAAATATGCCTTGTTTGAAAACACATAGTAGAAGATCACTCTAACAGTTCTTGACTAAGGAAAAGATATGAAGGATAATTTAATAATTGTGTTTTAGAAAAGAATTTCTCTCCACCCTCCTCAAAACAAAAACAAACACGGGGGGAAAAACACCTAAGATTTCATGTTTATCTTTTCATTGTGGTTTCCTATGTGCTGCCCTCAAATCGATGTTATTCACTGATTTGTGTTTTGAGTTCTATTGCCAAGTTTGCCCTCTGCATTCAGGTAATAATAAGAACTGAAGCAATAGCAACTACCTCATATTTAACTACAGCGAGCCTTGCAGGGCTTGCTTTCTGTGTGTTTACACTAGAATGTAGAACTTTTTTTAAGTGTCAAAGACGAGAATGCTTCTTTTATGATACGTAGCAATTAAGAAGCTATGAACCACATATGGTCATGAGTTTGTCCTTTATCTGCCTTAAGTCTAAACAAGGAAGGAAGAAATAATTTTCTTTGGAATCATTTGTAAAGTTATTTATGAAGTTCATGAAATTACTTGCCTCAGTAAGTATTGGTAAAGTAAAAGGAATCCTTCCTCAGCTCCTTCCACAAACTGTAAGGCAAGGATTATAATTTAGGAAGACGGCACAAGATGAATGAGAAGTGCTGTCCCGGCAGCAGGTAAAGAAGCATGACGAGATATTCAACAAAAGGTTTCCTCATCTTTCTTGCCCACCTCACTGTTGATCACAGTGTACTTTTCCTGCAACTAATCGCATCCTAGCAAGATTATGGCAAATCCAATGCTTTATTTACCTTTATGACTGCTTTATGAATTGCTGCATAATCTGTATAACCTCAAAAATCTCCCTCTCTCTCGATTATCTGTGCATACGCCCTAACAGCCCCAGCATGATGGTCACCATCTTATTTACATGATTATTGGCACAGAGTTGTTACCTAAATATTTGTTGAAAGAAAGAAAGAGAGAAAGAGAGAAAGAGAGAAAGAAAGAAAGAAAGAAAGAAAGAAAGAAAGAAAGAAAGAAAGAAAGAAAGAAAGAAAGAAATTGTTTAAAATATAAATCAACTGTTTCTCTCTGAAGCAGTGGTACAGATCTGTTGTTACAATCTGACTTGCATTTATTCCAAATGTAATTGAGGTCTAATGTAAAAATAACTTTAAAAATAACATCAAAAAGGACTCATTAGTTTGAGTCTATTATACATGCACATGATATAAAACTGAAAAGGTACAAATGATACAGAATGAAAAGTAAGTTCCCACTACAACCACCCCGCCGATTTGTCTCCATCCACAAAATTCTCCTCTTTCCAGGTCGTCACAGTCAGTAGACAATTTCAAAAGACCTTAAAGAACAAAAGAATTACTAGATTTGTCCCTTCAGATGGCATGTCCCTTGCAATTTTGCAACAAGAAAGGAACAGATAATATCACCGATTTTTTTTATGCCTCCATGAGATGAGGATTCTACAACTCTCCTAAGAATAACATAAACTATAACATAGTTATGTGAAATCCATAGAAGTGAGTCAATATGATGCTATTGTTATACTGTCCTGTGCGGAATGGCAAGGAGTTTATTGAAATAGAATACTTCTTTGATTTCTGAAACAATTTGATCAAAGGTTTGCTTTTGCTCAGATCAGACAGAGTTGGTTTCCAGTGCAATTTACCTCACTAGAACTATGTGTTAACATTTTCCTTTCTCCCTTGCATTCAGCACTAGGTGGCAGAGATTCCAAGAGCGGTTGAAGGTGATAGTAATTTTCTAAGGAGCCACCAGGGCTGGGGAAGAACTGAAGAGGCTGTTTTCCCCTCCAAGTGAAATGACTATTCATCCTCACTGATAGGAAAAATCAGCCTTTATTATCTTTGTGTGTTATGAAAAGTATCCAGTAAGTCAATACTTAATGTCCTTCTTTTCATTGAACGCTAAACAGAACCTGTAAAAGGAAGCATTTGTATGATGCTCTGAGTGACACAGAACCAGGTGAGGAGCAGTAGCTAAATCTCTTTTTGTAATCTATTCAAAATGAAAAGGTCAGAATTCCATATTGGCATTAAGGCAAACATGATCCACTTACCCCAGACAACAGAAAAAATGAAGTCAGCCAACGTACAAGTAAAATCAAGTCAAATATTCCAGAACTTTCAGTGAAAAAAACCATTGAACCACCCCAAAAGTTTACATGTAAAACATTGCCAAAAGGCTGATAAAGGACAGTAATTTTATTTTTATTTTATTTTTAAAATACTTATTTACCCAAAATATAGGGCTACCAAGTTTAGGCAACTGGCTAAATATTTAAGAAAAAATAAAGTTAGTTCTGAAAGGGAGCAGGACCCTGTGCCCCCTCCCCTGCCTCTGGTTTATGGAAAGTCTCCAGGGCCTCCCTGAGTCCTAGAAAAGCAGGCTCAAGCAGTTGATCAGGGCAAGCCTGCAGGCACTGGCAGATGCGATTCTGACCACCTAGCTCAACGATTAACTGGGATTATTCCTTCATTTCCCTTTAAAGCTTTCATGTCTGAACAGAATTTTTGGAGATGGGGTTTTTGGAGGGATGCTGGGTCCACTAGATTGCAAGCATTCTGATCAAAAGCAACTTTCCTTTTTGTTTAGGAAGTTCCTGAAACACACAATAAAATTGTTTGCCATTTCATCTTTCTGGGTAAGAATTTCCTGGAATAGGAAAGTCAAATAAAAGTAGATAGTTGTGTGTGTGTGTGTGTGTGTGTGTGTGTGTGTGTGTGTGTGTGTGTGTGTAGACAGTAAGTTACTTCGATTTCTCAGAAGAAACCTCTTTTAACTTCTTTCAATCCAGTGTTTCCCCAGCCCACTGCACCGTAACACTCTTCTCTCATAAAACCCATTAAAATGTCAAGGAACAAACCATAATAAACACTAAACCAGGAAATCATTTCTATGAGAGTGTGATGAACTGGAAGTTCTCAAAGGGTGATCCCCAGAGCAGCAGAGGCAGCATCACTTGGGAACTTGTTAGAAACGTTCCCACCTACTAACTCAGAAACCCCGGGGGTGGGGTCGGCAATCTGTGTTTCACACCACCCTCCTGGTGACTCTGACGCATGCCTGAGTTTGAGAACCAGTGCTGTGAGCCCCCTCAGAACGCTTCTCCTAATTTCCCTGCCCAGCGCAGAACAGAGACTTGTGGGTGCCGGAGCCGACTAATACCTGCTATTTCTTCAAGGAATTTAAATATTTGTCTGCGTGTGCTTGGTGGAGATGAGAGCAAACCAATTTTTTGCAAAAGCCGAGTGCCTCTTTCTCTACACTGTGACTCATACTCTGATGTTCTCTCTTCTTCCCTGAGCTCTTTGAAACCAGCACCCGCTTTGCTCTAAGATTAGCGCATTAGTGAGGAATATAACATTTACTCAAGATGTTAGCAGAGAGCCCAGGAGACGATCTGGATCGCATGGTCTCAAGGGTTTGCTTTTAAATTAATTACCCGCATCCCCCACCCGACTCCGTCCCATTTAAGGTATCTCTTCTCCCAAACCTGTCTTCTTGGCTTGGCTGCTCTTAGGCGGCCTATCTCTTCCTGCTCCGGACTCCACCTTCTTTCTGACCTTTCCTTCTAAAAGCAGTTCAGTTAGTGCCCACAAAAGTTTCTAAAGTCTTTATCCCACCACCACCTGCAAGTTAACACTCTTCAGGGAAACTGGAGGAATCATATTAAGGCTGAAGACTTTGCCTTGTGAAAAAAGCCTCCCCAGCTGCTAGGCTGCACCGAAG